ATGAAATCTTATCAAATGAAATTAAAGGTATTGTTGATAGATTTCCTCAAGATAACGATGATGGTTTTGATGCTGAACCTGGTTATGCAGCTTTTACCAATATCATGAATTACGAGAAAAAAGAATGAAATTAGAAATTGAACAATCGATGCATTTTTTATTCAAACTGCAAGTCGAGGGCGATACCAACAATCTGCAGATGCAAGAAGAAATAATCGCTCCGACTGTAATACGTTCGCTGGGCGAGGATTTCTTGCTCCAGCAATAATTAATGAAGCAAATATTCGATTAAATGAGGAAGAACATCAATTATTAAAATTGGGACCCAAATTTATATTTAATGACCCCAAAACAGCTGCTCGACGACGTACAATTGAGCTGGCTGCTCTTCGTCGAAAAATAGAAAATTGTTTTTTTCGAAAGAAAGTGAGCCCCGGTCGTCCTCTTCAACAATTTATGGCTGAATTAGATGTTCTTCTTCAAACGTTACATAATATTCCAATAATAGATAAATATTTAAATAAAAATGCATTAATTGACAATAATACAAATCAAAATAAAAATGTTTTAGAAATTATAAATAGTCAATTGTCTCAATCACAAATTGTTAATATAATTAAAATTAAGAAAAAGAAAAATTATGGTAGACTGGTAAAACGATTGAAGCATAAATTTAAATTGGCAAATGTCGTATTACAGAAATCAGACAAATCAAAAGTATTCCATTTAGGTAAATTAGAAGATTATCGTAAGAAATCTGAAGAGTATATGGCTAAAACTGAAGCATATAAATGCTTAGGTACTAATGACCCATTACCAGATTTAATTCAAAGAACCAATAAATACTTATTGGATCTAAGATTAGCTAAATGGATTACTCAAAAACAATATGAAAAATTATGTATTAACCCATGTGAAGTCGACCTGGCCCATTTATATTATTTACCGAAAGCCCATAAGCCAGGTACTCCTCTTCGTCCAATAGTTTCTGGTCTTAAACATCCTACTATCAAAATATCGAAATTTCTTGATGAAGTATTAAGACCATTATTTGATAAAATGACTGTAAAAACAACCGTAAATTCTGGTTTTGAATTAATAAAACAGTTATTAGAATGGTCAAAGATAAAGATGCGTCAAGAAACATTATTTTGTACAATTGATGTGATGGATCTGTATACAATGGTGCCACAAGCTGAAGGAGTATTATCATTAAAAAAGATGTTAGATCATTTAAAATTAAAATGTATTAATGGGTTAACAATTGAAACAATTATTAGATTAAGTCGATTTGTAATGCAAAATAATTCTTTTTCTTATGATGGCCAATATTATCAGCAAATTCGAGGAGGAGCTATGGGTTCTCCCCTTACCTTAACAGTCGCCAATTGTTACATGTTCTTTTATGAACAACAAATTGTAAAGCAAATACATAACAGTGGCGGACTTTATTTTAGGTATATTGATGATATTTTTATTGTAATAAATTGGCCTGCCCGACATTTATTGAAGCAAATTGACAAATGGAATCATTTTGATGAAAACATTAAATTATCTGAAAATATAGGTGTAACGGCCGATTTTCTAGATTTACATATAGAAAATCGAGATGGTGAATTATTTACAACTGTTTATCAAAAACCATCATATGAGCCGTATTACCTACCACTTAGTAGTATTCATCCGTTGCATATGAAGAAGAATATAATTTTTACTATGTTACTCCGTGCTATACGATATTGCTGAATTTTTCAAGATTATTTAAATGAGCGTGAAAGGCTACGAGTGGCATTAT